TCTTTCTTTCTTTCTTTCTTTCTTTCTTTCTTTCTTTCTTTCTTTCTCTTCTTAAATACTTTATTTTTGAGTAATCTCTTAAGTTATCTCTATACCCAACACGGGACTTGAACTTACAACCCTGAGATCAAGAGTTGCATGATCTGACTGAGCCAGCCAGGAGCCCCACGCTTGGAATTTCTGTCATCACAACTTCAAGCCACGACTGGCTGTCTCAGGATCACCTGCTGTGAGTAGAGCTTGTCTGGAGTTTCCCATGAACTGATTACCCTTCCTCCTAACGCCATCTTTCTTCTATCTCTTCCTAGTTCTCTAGGCATACTTACCAGGTTAGTTTGCTAATGGACACGTCTTACTAGCTGCAGAGAAACAGGTGGAGCAAAGAGCAAAAACGCTGGGCCCTCGTTCTGAAAAACACGCAAGCGCAACTACGGCCACTAGGTGGCGACCGAGTTCAGAGTTTTGACCTTTCATTCTGTAGGGAGCCCCTAACCTGTTGCTTAAAGCACAACTACTAGCAACTAATTTTTTTTTTAATTTTAAAATGTTTATTTATTTTTGAGAGAGAGGCAGAGACAGAGCGTGAGCGGGGGAGGGGCAGAGAGAGAGGCAGACACAGAATCCAAAGCAGGCTCCAGGCTCTGAGCTGTCAGCACAGAGCCCAACGCCGGGCTCCAACTCACAAACCGTGAGATCATGACCTGAGAGGAAGTCAGTCACTTAACTGAATGAGCCACCCAGGTGCCCCTACTAGAAACTCCTTCGATTACAGAATCACAGAATTGGGGAGAAAGGGAGCAGAAATAGCCCTACCTTGCAGACATATAAAAGTAGAGCCTATTTAAAAAGTTTTGGAGAAGGTTTACTGCCCTGATTGAAAACCAGAGCAAAAGTGCAAACTCTTAAGCATGTCAGATGATGGTGGGGTCGTGATCTGGGTCGATATAGCAAATAGGACAGAATGAAGTTCAAGTGGACCAAAGTACGGGCACTCACAATGCCAGTCCTCCAACGCTGTGGCCACAGCCGACATTGAAAATCGATCTTTGCATTCAAAATCTTATAACAATGGTTAACTGAGTTACCCAGGCACCCCCCCACCCCCATTTTTTGCCTTTTAATCTGAGTGTTTCTCTTACCAGGCTATGGACATGGAAGGTAGAAACAATTGCCTTTTTCTCTACTCCCTGTATCAAGAACAGTGTAGAGCACATAATAGGTGCTCAATAAATCCTCATTGACTTGACTAGATAAATGAGCAGATAAAGGATGGGTGGGAATTGTTTGTTGGAATTGGGGTCACTCTGAGGATGAGCCAGTCTAAAGCAGAATGTTCATTTTAAGGAGCTGTGAGAGGTAAGATTGGCTGGCTTAGAAGGTAGTTGAAGAGCTTGACAACCCCAGGCTGTGGATTTAACCCAACAATGAAAGATTTTAAGGTGAGGAATGTATTGAGCCCATTCCAGTATTGTAGAATGCTCTTGTTGAGGAAGAGTTCCCTGATGTTTTATCTTTATTGCCTTCTGCAGACTGGAAATTGCCCCAACAAGTCTGGGAGAAGGGGAAGGAGTCGTTTGGGGTTTCCTCCTCTGATAGGGCATCCCCCTATGGCGCTCTTGTGCCCAGGCTTCCCCCGACCTCAGAGAAAGGGTGGAGATGGCGGTCAGTCCAGGTGCCAAGCCCCAGCTCTGATGGACTGTTGAAAGCACTGTTCCAACAGAAACTGAATCCATCCTTCCAGACCTGTTTTCTTTTCTGGGTTTCTCTCCAGAGGGCTCACATTGGGAAATGTTTATCTGCCCCAGATGTGAGGGGTAGGACTGGGTGGTGACTCTATCTGCTTGTGGCCAGCTATATTTGCATTCTCTGATGGTGTTGGCTGGGAGGGGTTGTGGTGTGTGTGTGTGTGTGTGTGTGTGTGTGTGTGTGTGTGTGTGTGTG